TCGACCTAGTCCTTTGTTCGCTTTTCCCAGCCTCGATTTTGCTCATAACTGCGTCCCATCGCCCACTCTTTCTAGCAGATCTCGGTAAACGTCGAGCTTCTTTCTCGGCTTCATCTTTCGGTCCAGACTCGATCATAGCCTTGATTTTCGAGACAACGTTCCTCTTAGGCATCTTGTATTTTTTTAATGGGACTGAATCAGCTTTGTTCTGCGTTTTCGATCTCATATTATCATTGCTTCTTTCCACTTCCATTATCGTAATATCGGTAGGATTCATCGAGCCGCTGGAGTCAGCCGATCCATCCAGAGGATTTACAGGAGCCTAAATATTATCCGTTAGGCGAGCTATATATACGAGCTATATATAAATATATACAAGCATATACCAAATAAACAAAATTATCGACTCGCCTGTAAATAATCCATAATAACATCCGCTTTGATTGGTGTCGGCTGGCTCCTCTGTGAGACCTCCGTATCAATGGTATCGGGAGTGCGATCCTCGTGTTCCACAACTGCCTCCTCCGGAACATGGAGTTCGTCCTGTCTTTTATCGAGATCCGAATAAATCCCACTCGAATCCATTTCTTCTCCTGTAAAACTCGGACATCTTCGACCACCAGGCGCGCAGAAGAGGGTACCGTCGATCACTTGAGCTTTCCTATCGCCACGTACGATTTCCTCATACGCGTCAGCATCACTTTCCGTGAAGAAATCCGAATCCGTCATCGGATCTTGCCTGCAAGGAGCAGGTAGATTCGGCGGTGGTGCGACGGATGGTGGATCAGCCCCACGACTCGCTGGCCTCGAGTTCTCACCGTCACCTTGATAACCAGCCTCGAGACTAGTGATACTCGTTACCGATGTAACGAAACTGATAGGAACAGTGCCCCTAACAGGCTCCGTTGGCTTAGGATCGAGCGGTAACTCTTCCGGAGATGGTGTTCTCTCGCTTGAAGCTTCTTCGGTCGGCTCAACATCCGCTGACGGCCTCGATGCAGATGCTCGCGTTAACGCCAATCTAGAGCCTGCTGATCCCGTAAGATTTTCGCAGGATGGTGTCCTGGAGCACTCTAGTGCAACTGTGAAGTCGGTCATTTGGTCGGGGGTCAATATGCCGAGGCTTTCGTCGTGTTCAAAGGAATTCTGCTTATTGAGCATCAAATAGTGTGGTGTATTTACTGCGTTATCATTATAATTGCCTAGGGACGTTTCCAAGAGGCAGCTCTCACCAGCGTCCTCAATCATATTCAACTGAGAATTTTCGAGCAAACTGTACAAATGATAATAAAGAAGTTTGTATTAAATGAAGAATAATAATTGACAAAAAGATACCATTTTGCTACATTTTTTTTTGATCGATGGAACAAAGGTTTTACTTTAAATAACCAGGTTTATGAGAAGGTTCATAAACGACTGTTAGGTAATTTTTCTAATACCTGACTCTAGTGAGTACTAGCGTTTTGCATTTAAAATTGAAATGCAATTAATTAAATGTTATGGTGTACCTGAAAAAGCTGCTCTTTTCTTCGGCAAAGTGAACCAACTGTTGCACGTCATCTTTGTCAATATCCCACACAGGTGATATCGTGAACGTCTTATGTCCCGAATCTGTTGATCAAGTAAGAAAATACGTAATAGCTAAATTTTCTCATTTAACTATTTCTGTCTTCTGTAAGTATGTAAATAATTACTGTCACCTTCGATCGACGGTGTAGACACAGCTCGCGTCCCGCACTTTGTTTTAGGAGCGCTGGTCTCGTCCTCGGCATCGACGAACGATAAACATCCCGGGAGTACCAATGAACGTCGATGTCCAGGTACAAGCGTCGGCGTACCAAGTACTCTCGATTTCGGGAAAAAAGACGGCCGTGCCGCGCGTGGAACTGGTATCCGACTTTCCCCGACGTTCTGCAATCACACAGACAAAATGATAAATTCGCGTGCGTAAACTAGGTTACCATAAAACTATTTCACGCATTCGTTTAGCCAGTCAACAGACATACATTCCACCGAGAGAGTTACAAATTCCTTCATTTATCCTCTAATTAGTTGAATCGTTCCATAGCCTGAAGCTTCAGTTAACTGAATATAGACAGACTTAATCGCATTGTAGTGATCGTCGCAATGACGTAGTAGGTTCACACTGGTGTCTTTAGACCGCGTCAAAGGTTAAGACGATATTCAATTACATTATTGGTAGGCAAAAGAATGTAAAAAATGCCTGATTTTTCAAGGTTAAGATAAATTCTTGATTCGAAGATGAAGACGAAGAGTCCGTTGCCCTTGGCCCATCTCCAAATAAAACCCTTCGTCCCGAGGTGAATCAGAAGTGTCTCTCTGGCAGTTGGCTAATTTAATTTTAGCCCTGGTCAACCACGTTACTTCTCTCTTGTAGCCACCTTTACCCAGTGCCTCCTGTTTCTCCTCATCTTCGTACGTAAGAACACGCGTAACACGTTCCCCTTTAGCCTGCTTAACGACCAACGAAAACATTACTCGGTGGTCGATTAGCTTTATCGTTCGACCGCGAATCCGCTCGTATAATATGTATCCGTCTATCTAGTATCGTGCAAACATTAAGCTGGCCGAAGCGTTTCTATCAAAGTTCGAATATCAGACACTTGGAGTATTTGTTCGTGATCCGACTGATAAAATCGACCACAAACAAGATTTAGTTATGCAGCTTTGTATCAGTCTAGAACGAAAAGCTACGTTAGCCTGTTACTAATAATAGTATTACCAATGGCTAGCTGAAAGTGAGGAACCGACTACCAGAGTAACAGAGTGCGTTCACCGACGATCCTTTTGAACGACGTCGTCGGCTGAGAACTGGGTTACAGCTCGCGAGTTTATTTACTACGAATCGGTTCTCGTCGATCCGAACACTGCGTGTAAATTCTTTTGCTGAAACGCTATTTTATTCTTCATATTCACATTCACATCGAACACTAATATTTCGTCCGATAACTTTTCACGCAAAAGCGATAAATTATTCAAGAATCATGCATTATTGCATTACACACACGTATACATACATATACACAGTATACATATATAGCTATCTACGTACAATATATGACGTACCCATCTTTTTCTAGTGGTTACAACACAACATCAATATTGCGACTCGGTAGTTTCTAAATCAATCGATATTCGCAAAACGCTTGTTATCGATCTAGGAAAATGTCAAGGCCAGACAGGGCAACGAGTAGATATCAAACAAGACGAATAGTATGTTAAATATTGCGCTGACTTTGTGACGGCGCGAAGAAAACGTGGCAAGAATCGGAATCAACGCGCGTACACGCGTTGACAAGCCGATGACGAGCAAAGGCCAGGCCCCGAGCATAACTTTATTCCATTAGGCCTTAATTTGTGTCAATTCGAGCCGCCTACCCGGTCGTTATCTCTTACCACGCGAGACGAAGCAACTGTGTTAATTAGGAGCACATTCGTTTAGATTTTCGTCGATCTAACGGAATCACAGCAAATCCTTGAAATCTCGCCGACAACACAATGCTATCATTCAACGGAGAAGAAGAAGGAAAAAAGGAGAAGAATAGGAAGCGGAAAAAGAAATATTCACACGATTTAACTAGCGGTCCAATTCGCTATTTGAAATCGTTACACTTTGCTTTGGCATAAATGTCATTTTTTCCGATCAGCGAAATCAGCATCGAGATGAAAAATGCCTGAAACGCTTTCTACGAACAGAAAGACTTTCTAAAAGGCCGCCGCGTTTAGAGTTATAAATTGCGACGCATTTGCGCATTCAGTTGTTTTTGCTTGCCGGATGTCGTCATTAATTCAAATTAAACAGCAAAAAAAGAAGAAGAAAAAAAGAAGGAAAAGAAACTGGGTGAGGAAATAAAAAAGTTGCTGCAGTTTTGTATAATTTCACTAGCCGGCAGGCACAAGTTGCGGATAGCGTTTGGCAACATTGGTCTACGATTTACTCGATACGTTGTGCGCGACCACGTAAGTGACAAGCACACGTGACGCGTGTTATGATTCCATAGTATGCTACATAATTCCGACTTGTCGTAATTTAAATAGAATTAATTACTGCACCTGTGCGAACTTCACTGTGCTCTCGACCGCGATCGTCTACGCCGACACGTTTATATTCCGTGTACACGTAACAGCTTTGATAAGATTATAAGTGAAGGTCCATTGGACCTGGCCACGTATCAAACACGGAAAAATACATGTTCATTGCCGCAATAACATTTACACAGGTATCGTCGAACAACGACCGAACATTGTAAAAGCAGAACACAATCGAAACACATCAGCATATGACCGTTACTTAGCGCATCTTTGCTTGCGTAATCACCGATCTTTGGAACACCGAATTCAACACGCGAACGAAACCACACAACAAAACTATCCCTCTCCGATTTCTATCCGTTTACCTATCCATACGAAACAAAACAAGAATAAAAGCGAGAACATGAAGAGTCACGCGAAAAGAGAAGCTCAACTCACGATCGCCTCAACGTTCCTCTTCACGGTTATTTGGTCGCCTCATAATTTGATTCGACGCCACTTTCCCTGGCTGCACAAAAACACTTCGGTTGGATAGTCCTCGCTAGAAGACTATTAATAAAGCCAACTTTCCGTGTACTGAGTCACGGGACGAGGATTCACCCCGTTCCAGTAATTCGTAAATACGACGCATTTGCGACGCGCATTTTATTACGTACGTATGCGAGACAATAAAACGGGGTCCCGTTACGGACGAGTTCAACTCGAGAACCGAAATTTCCCTCCGCAGGGAAACGCGGGAAAGTTTTCCAACTACGAAAGAGAAGCGACCGGATCGATAGCGACAGCACGATCGCGATGCGCCCGCCGCGTGTACGACAATGAAACGTTCCGGATTCGCTCGGTGATCCCCTGGTACTACCTATGCCACCACCGCGAGCATCCGCACACCGATACACAACCATACAACCAAACAGATAGATATACGCTATACACGCGTGCCCTCCTCATATACACCTTCACCACGCGAACGATGTGGACTGACACTCCGCAACAACGATTACTATTCTTCAGAAACACACGGTTTCTGCATTCACCGGCCCGTGAATCCGTATACGAGCACACACGGTGCCGATATACACGAAGACTGTACAGTGAACGTCATCAACCGAAGAACAAGGCTACGTTTAACTTGCGAGCTTGACTCCACGTTTTTTCCTACATACGATCGTAATTAGCGGTACGTTCTCATAGAATTCATTCTATCGAGGTTGAAGTAAACTTTGATCTATCTGTCGATAAGTGCAAGTGCAGGTATAAAAAGAGAAAATGAAAAGTTCTTATTCGTAGGAATCGAGGATCGCTATTGAAAATGTTTCTACGTTCCCTTTTTCATCTTTTCTTTTTCCTCGTGTGGAAGAATATAGCGTAGGAAAGCAGAGAACGAGATAAACGTAAGAGACAACTTTCACCGACGATTATCTACACTGTACGCACGATAAAATCGAGTCGCTGATACTTGATAAGCCTAACAAGTGAAGTTACGTGTTATATGCATAATCATAGGTTACAGAGAGGCATTGTAAGATGTAAAAACCGCTCAAACGTGGAGGCATTAATGAATAGTAGTTATTTCACGGGAAACGTATCGACGCGATACAACACTATGTTAAACGTCCGGAAGAAAATCAACCTTCGATCGGCCGGAATACACCGAACACGACACGTTTCGCAAGCCTGGAATTTCACAATGCTCTATAGTACAAATGTTTTACATGCCGGCGAACGGTCCCTTTGTATCTGACATGTTTATCGATTTTAGGATCGAATTCGTTCTATAGCTACACGACCGGTCCTCGTCGACCTTTATATACATCCGTTCCTACTTCCCGCCGTATAAAAATCCCCGAGGACCTTGAAAGGCCTCTCCCTAACCTCGACATGCCGACTGGCCAAGTCGGCACATTTTCATGCAATGCCGCATATACGCGAGAAATTTGCGTCTAGCTAAATGATTCTCTTTTTCACAAAAATACTTGCAGTATCATACAGTCTTTCGTTTCGGTTACATCACAAACGATATCGTAACGAAATGTCTGGTAAATACATTGCGGAAGTTCATGCATTTATGGAAGATTTAAACGTGCAAAAATGTACAATGTGAGGTACTCGTTATAATATTTAGAGAGTGAAACAAATTTCTATTTTGATTCTATTAACAAATAATCGTTTACATAATAATTCTCAATTATGCCTAAAAAATAATTCACGTTGTAAATGTCCTTTGAAAAGTATTGGTGTGCCATTAAGATTTATTGTACGCGTTACTTATGTACCTTTACAACACGTGAAAGAATTATCAACGGCGATGAAACGGTTGAAATAAAAAACGTTTCGACGATCATTATCGGTTCACCTACCCTGATATCATCTATGAGCGTTCGCTCTTCTAGACGGAAATATAATACAGTTGACCGCAATTCACTGCGTTTTCGTGCCAACTATTATATATACACACAGGTCCACTCGAAAGCGCTAAATGCAGTTGTCTAACAAATTTGTGGATGCATCGCCCACATTCACGAGATTCAGTTCGTGCGACTTTTGTACGGATGCAGTCTCGATATAACTGCCTAATTTGCAGTCGGTGCACGTTAGAAAAAGTCTATTTGCACATGTACCGGTTCGTATAAACGAGCACGTCTCCAAAGGACCGTTAAACACGGTGAAAATTTTATGAAGAAAGCACCTGGTCGTATAATGGGTCAGTCAGTAAACACCGCTTTTACAACCAGTTCGCGTGTCTTTTCTCTTCTATCTATGCATCTGACATGTTTGATGATAGTTACATGACTTCCAATGATTGACGCGAATGATTATGGCGTTCGATTGATGATGCAAAATAAATCATCCTGAATATTGCGAAATATTAAGTACAAGTATATTATATTGCACGATGAATTTATAAATTTATTCTAATCATCGAAAATAATCATTGAATACTATTCCAAACTTCTTACATATATTTCACTTAAATCTCTTAGTTTTTTCCTCTTACAACGTGCATGATCTTTTTACAATGTTTCCAGTTCAACATGCTATAAGAATCAACTCGGTGTTGACTATACGGGGCACGTATGCACTGTTCATCGATCACAAAAATTCATGACATAGCTTATATGAACGTCCGTGCATTGTATAAACGTAACATGGAGATATATATTCTGCATTGTGTCGAAACTGATGGCATCGAATAAAAAAGAAGAAAACATAATGATAGTCGGAGCTCAAGCATTAGCCGATGTTATGGAATCAAGATAATCCTGCTCTATTCGTTTGTAAATGGGTTACTGCTAAGAAATTTCTTCAATGCACAAATAAATGTTTATATCAGATCGTCACGGTTTCCGCACTACTGCGAATAAATAACTGTTTACGGTTCTTACCATTTTGTACTTAACTAACAATAAAACTCTTTTTCTAGAATTAGTACATTTTTTTACAATTAAACCTGTTTTTATACATTGTACATACATAAACACACATGTATATATAGCGCGACACTTGAATCTATTGATAAATCAGTATCCGGATACTGTTAATTGAATAAAATTAACTGTCCATTAGCCCCACGTGTATCTGAAGTAGGTACTGTATTTATAGTATGCGTCGAATAATACATCAAATGTTTATATATGAATAAAAAATTTAATTAACAGTAAAAAATTGTTAACGAAGATATATATAATAATTAAAGTAATCATGCAAATATTTTCACTATTATCGCCATATCAGTAGCCCTTCCCTCATACTCCAACAGCAATGTCGACTATGTGCCCGCAGTCCGGCTGATCATGACGGCGCCAAACTACTTTTTCTGCCGAGATAGACCATGACTACTGTGCATAGTCGATACATCGCAAAACGTACTGATAGCATTTTAATTCAGAAATGAATAAAGTCACTCGCTCACTCGCTCGAAGAGGTATAATTGCCAATTGAATTGGTTATCCTACCGGAAACGATCTTCTCTAAGAATCAGCAACAGTTGTTGACAGATTAGCAATAGCACGTTCTTAGTGCAAAGTCTTAAGTATAAATCAATTAAAACTAGGTAAAACACATACAATTACTAGAAATATATAATACACCATACTTGAGTGACACAATAAATTATTTTAATCCTTTATTTTGACCAAAACTCACCTTAGCCATCGTGTCGTGGGTGGGTCCTAAAGATTGTTCGAATCCGAAAAAATCTGATTCCGGCTCCGGATATGGCTGGTACTTTTCGTTGACATAAGTCTTGTTCTGCAAAACAGCAGTAAATGCAGGGGTCGCATTCCTAATCGTTTCTTTTTTTCACGCGACTCTCCTTTTCGATCGCACCCGTGTACAAGTTTTCGTAGCGACACGTCGATTGCTTGCGAGTGCCTTCACGCAGCGACGCTCCCGACGCCGGCGTCGCCGAGAACGACGTTATTGATCGGCGCCGTGCGGAGGCGTCGCTACCCGCGAAATGGAGAAGGGGATGGAATTACCGGTGACGGAGATAGTACTCGAGTTAACGGTGGCTCCGATGGAGATGGAAATGACAACTGAAGCGCCACCGTCGAAAATCATTTTGCGATTGTTGTAGACTCTTTTAATTCTCTCCCCCTCCCCCACCCCTTTACCATACCAAAACTGGACCGGGCATATTTTTGGCAAAACAGAAAAATGTATGAGAAAAATGTGAAATTTATGATAATTATAGAAAAACTGCTAACGATGAAAAAATAAAGGATAATTACACATTTTAACCTTTTTCCAATTTTACAACCTTCAATAGATGAATCGCTGTGCACTTTTCCGAATAAAATGATACGTATTATTATTACATTATAAACATTCAAATGTGTTCAAATAATGATTAAAGAGAAAAGGATACTTAAGACGCACTATTTTTTACTTACGTTTTTCAATTTATTTCAAAAATTGAATGTATGGAAGATAATCTAACCATAGCATACGATAAAGCAGACATTTCTGTTAAGAAAAGCAGCAAGGAAAACTAGAGAATCATGTTTTGATTCCGATGTAAAAATGAAAAAGTTTGACGGAACATGCAGCGGCGGCACTGGTACTCAATGCCGACAGGTAACAGTCGCACACGTTTAGTGGTTTCGTTATGCCGAGCAGCAGGTAAGGCAACTACCAACATTGAGTACCACTATCGCTGCCGCGTGTTTTGTTAAACTGTTTCGCTTTTATATTGGAAACAGTACATAGTTCTTTTTCATGTTTTCCTTAGCAGAAATGTCTGCTTTATCACGTGCTATTTTTAGATTTTCTACTAGACCATTCATTTTTTAAATAAATTAAGAAATATAAGTAAAAATAGTGCGTTTTATATGTCCTTTCTACTTTGATCATAATTTAAACATAATTAAATATTTATAATGTAATAATAATATATATCATTTTATTTAGGGGAGTCCACAGAATCTATTTTGCCCAACAACAACTCGATATATGCTACTTTAAAAGCACAAAACATCTCCAAAGTCGAAAATGTACAATTTTTTTTTCAAAATTGTTGTTTTCGAAAATAGTGGATTCTGAAAAAAACGATTTGCAAATTCATGTTTAGCTCATAAAAATCTACAAGAGTTGCCTAGTGGAGGTTGCAGAATTAGATCGTGCTAAACAACATTATCAATAATTTAATGACCTTTCCTCTCAAATATGCTACCCCATTCGCATTTGCAGAATGAATACTACATATTTATACATACACATGATTAAAAAATACATACTTCTAATGACAAACAAGCGTAAAATTATATTTCGCAAGCTTACCAGATTAAAGTCATCCATTTGGGTTATTTGTCTTAAACTGGTTGCCTTAATTCAAATAATAGGTTAATACGAGAGTACTGAAATAGAAAATACATAACAATATCCGTTAATACTTTCGAACTATTCTTCCTACGAAAAACAGCGAATCGGATTACACGCTCTTTGTAAACAGACCAATGACTTTCGCGTACGAACTGGCCTATAATAACACTAGTCACTAGTGTAAAAGTCCTGCTCTTCCTTTTCTTATTCAAATCTGAAATATATTTAATTTAATAGTTATCATTTACAAATGTTTCAATCTTTATAAAATTATAATATACAAAAATACAGCGTCGTATAAGAAAATTTGGGGAATAATACAGGGTATAATACGGATTGTGTTGATCGATTATAAGATTAATAAAACTACCGTGTTTTCGTTACACATAGATACACAGATAGGAAACATTTTTTATTTATACTCGGTAACTGCACAACACAGTAATTACCAGAAATGCAGATACAGTTGCACAAATGAAAATTTTTGAATCGTCGAACGAGGTCTGACTTTGTTTCGAAAGATTGACAGAGGAAACAAGAGTACATTTTTTTGATAATATTCTAATACGTACGAAGTCTCTCTTGAAGAATTTCATAATTTTAATAACGATAGCAGAGCTGTACGATATCGTAATGTTGATTGCTACAACAAATCAGCATCTGCTGTTACATCATCGAAAGTATGAAGATTTCTATATGTGCGAATGATATCAGTTTCAAGGATAAAGAAATGTATGCAGCTTTAATTATGTCTAGCTATATCTGATCGATATTTCTGTTGATAATCTTTATAATTCTGCAACAGAATTTATTTGATATCGTACTTTCGATCATGATAAATAGCTGTGTTTTTTATTATCACGATCATCTTCTGGAATAATATACAATGATACCGACACTCTGAAAGACGTAAAGAAAATATTAAAGAGAAAGCCCGTAGCTATCGGATCTACATGATAAATGTGGAATGGATTTTGTAAATGTTTTTTACAGCTAAAAGAATTTATTTACACTGACTGACATCTAAAATAATTACAAATCTTTCCCAAATCACCAATCATGATAATCTATTCTTTCTATAAAACTATTGTATTTTTAAATATATATTTATGCATTTAGGAATCTCATTATAGGCAGTGTACTTTGCACATAATATACGATCAAAATATATCTAAGCACTATTTGACAAACAATACATTTGTTTCACTACACATTGTAGCAAATTTTCATTTCATATTTGTATATTTATTTGAAATATATTGTGTAAAAGATATCCAAGGCACAACTTGGGCGGCACATAATTAAGTATATAAATTGTAGCATAATAATGTTGTTGTTGCAATACTCACTAAGCTCTTATCCAGTTCTGTAAAACTTAGGAATTAGAAAGCAATGTCAGGTGATTTGGAAATAAGATTTGCAATATATGGTGCATCAATTAACAGTAAAAAAATTGAAAACGATACCAACAAAGAATAGAAGCTCTAAATATAGTTATTACATATTAGCTATTCATACATACATATTGCGATAAAGCATTATGCTCGTTACGAGTGCTACAAGCTCGATATACCTAAAACATTAATTCACATTTCTGTTAACAGGTTTACATTATTTTAAGACATTATCTATACCAATTACAGCGTCGTTTCGATGAAAAATACTTTTCTCTTATTATTATTATCTTTCTTTTTTTCAACTAAATAGGTATTACAGGTGATCACGAAAAAACGGTACGTGGTACGATAAATGTTCCTTTGATTGAATATTTTTATTCGTCATATTTTTTTTTTAAGCGTTATTGTCATATTTCCTTGTACGATTATGCTTTTAAATTCAAATACATATCTTCATCTTCATTGATTCAATAAAGCAAATACTTTTACCATCGTTGATCACCCATACGTAATTTGCTAAATTTGGTAGCAAACAATCACAGCTAGGTACATCGACAAATAAGTAACAGCAAGCGGCAGTGACTTCTGTTCCAGTTCTCAAGTACTCTCCGTTAAAGTTATATGATCCGTATACTTTCTTCATTCACTTACAATTGAAATATTCGTAAGATATACATAAAAATAATTTGAATTATAATCGTAAGTTTATCAGCAAGCCAGAAGATCATTCGAATATACATTATAGATATTTCCAATAGTAACATTAAGTTGAGATTTATGCTTCTTCAGTAATACCTGCGTACCTTAATGTAAAATTAAGATGAGAATCGATGTATATAATAAACGTCTACATCATGAAGCTAATGTTCTGTTATAAATATGTAAAGACACAGACATGAGCGTTGATTGTAATGAAATTTCAATGCATAACACTTTCCATTGATTTAATTTTATTTAATCTCAACTAAGTATTCATATGACCTTCCCAGCTCATTATTGAATGTGTATGTGATATATAATTCTTATGCTCACTATTATAATGTTCTTATAAAATTTGCATGTTATTCAGTAAAATATATAAAACAAGCAATATCTTTTGTAACCGAATATTTTCTAGGTAAATCTTTCTCCATTGGCTTAAGTTCCCTATTAATGATCAACAAAAATAGTTTTCGACATGATTTAAATGAAAGGCATTATATACATACACTTTTGGCACTTTTCAGAATTCAATTCACAGAATTTTCATATGGTTTGTATCAAATGTAATGCCAATTATTTGAATTGCATATAATATTGTATTTTTTATATGTACATAAACTTCTGTCAAAGCCTGAAATTTGTAAACACTTCTGAAAAGTGCAAAGCTAACACATAAGTCTTATATTACTCTCAATTCGACAAGTAATAAGTAGATGACTTTATGTTAGTTGTCACATTAATTTCTTATAAGGCTACATCCAAAGGCTTACATTTCGCGAATATTAGGAAACGTTGCGCAAAAAATATTTTTATATGCATTATCAAAGTTAATATTCCAATATGTCATCAGATACAGTTAACTTTCAAATGTTAACGTGAGATCAGCATCTGATGTTTATATTAAAATATTAATTGTATTACAATTAGTAAAATTGAAATTAATTACACTTAGATTATAATCTTAATAGTAATAAATTTAAATATTCTAAGACTTGTTTAGGCATAAATCAAATGCTTCAGGAGCATGCATATTGTATTCAAAACTATAAATGTTAAAATGTTATTTGATGTAATTCTGAATCATTCTCGTATATTATTATTCAGTAATCGTCTTTTGTTTAATTACAGTTGATTTGCTCTTTAACTACGCATATGTAGATTTCAGTATAAGTCTCGAAACAATTTAATGAAGCATTCGTGATATAGCATTAGGACATATTTTTGTAACAATTTTCCATATAAAATAACGTATTATATATAAGTGTAATTGAATATATTTGAAAAATATGATTCTTCATATATAACACATATTTTTTCTGCTATAATTCTTCTCCTATTTAACAGCCAAAAAATTGTACAGCTTTTACGTGTACACTGTAATCTCCGAAATTTCTTTAATAAGGATCACTTTCAATAATTATGAACTTTCGTAACCCTTTATTTTCATAATCATATTAGCTTCAGTTTACTCACATGAGAAAAATCTCGTTAGGCAGTTTTTCATTTACCACTTTCTCTGATACTTTCATAAATCTCTTACAATAACTAGTTAAAATATTATATGATAATATTAAAAACTGTTCTTGAATCATCAGATTTTCCTACAGTTCACTATTTTCTCCCTTTGCTATTAGATTTGATGCACAAATTATGATACAGAACTTATAGCATTATGAGGAGAACCCATTTGTGTTAACACTTTATCTAACCACTGTAAGGGTCCATGTAAATGTGCTTCAATCCAACAAGGAGTAGATGTAACATCTTGTCTGTGATACTCAGCACCCCATCCTTTAACGAATGACATTCTGCAACAAATATATATTTATTGCAACTTACATATTGCTGCTTATGCTACTTAACATTAATTTTTAAATCCTACATTTTACCTTATAGTGCACATCTTTGTTAATTCATAAACTGCTTCAAAACCATGATTAACGCTTTGTGAAAGTAACTGGGCAAACTCTTGATTATTAAATATTTTCAATGAACATCCTGGTGGAATCTTACAAACAGTACTAGGATGAAATCCATGATGATGATTACAATTTCTAGATTGTACAAATATAGCAGAGTCAGAGAGACATTCTGCATAAACTTCACCACCTACATAATATAAATGTACTCCTTTGCCTATATGTCTTCTTGTATTTTCAATAGTAGAATTACGATTTACATTGGACAATTGTCCAAGACAAAAGCGATCAGAATTGTTGCTTGGATTTGTAAAACCATCCACAATAACAGAGTGAGAATGACAATGAAAAACTTCACCCACTCTACAATTTAATTCGTAATATGCAATGGAGGCCCAATAAGGTGGTTCCTGATAACATACTGGAGCTACTTCAGCTGATCCACTTGTATCCATTGCTACTGGATCAGGTGGTGGTGATTGTCCAGGTTGTGAACCATCTTCAGGTGGAGAATATGCTGGAGGAGGAGTTTCTGGTAGCCCATTAGTACCATATGGACTTTGTGGATTTGGTGATGTTGTGCTTCCTGGACTGGGAACAGATCCAACAGAAGACATAGGTGATGTTGGATTTACACCACCAGTAGATCCAGCATTAAATCCACTAGAGGAGTAGGACACATTATGTGGCATTGTTGGTTCTGCTATTTGTTGAAATGGTAACAATGAATGTCCAGGAGCATATTCTGAATGTCTAGGAACTAATACAGGTGGGAGCACTGGACTCTCCACTCTTTTATAGTGGTAAGGATTGATGCAAACTTCTTTTTGTTTAGCAGAAAAAGGGTACTGACATAACTCTAATGGTTTTAATTCATGATGTGACTGCAAATCTGGCCATCTCCATACTCTACAATAAATTACATGTGGCAAACCTTTACGATGTGAAACTTGTAATCTACCATCTAAACTTCTTGGAATTGTTACACATTTACTAGGTGTGCCTGGACAGCTCAAAGCACGTTCTAATTCTTCTATTGCACCCTTCCGTTTTTTTAATTTTTTTACTAATGAATCAACTGCTTTTTCTGCCCATTTTTCTTCTTCATCACCCTGTTTCCAACCAAGTAACTTTTTTACAGCAGGACTAGTAAATGAAAACAAACTGTTCAATGAAGACATGGGTCCAGAACTTGATGATCCTTCTTCATCGTCCATGTTAAAAATACTGTAATATGTAAACTGTATGTATGAATTTTTTATAGCTTCCGTTTTATAGCAACCTGTAATTTAATATCATTTTATCAATATTCATATTTATTCAAAATTTTCTGATGTCGTTTACAGAAGTATTTGTTTTCAATACATTTTATTTTTTAAATTAATATTCTGTATATCAGAAAGATATTGCGGCATTTTTAAGGTCCACTTAATTCATACTAAAGAAATGTTAACGCTGGTTAAATGAAAAAATAAATATTACGTTAGATGTGAGGTTAGACATGTAAGGAATCTGGTATACAGAATACACAAAATATAAAACGAAATAATATGATATTAAATATCGCAAATATAAAGAATGTGCATCAAAAAAATATAAAATAACTAATAATAAATTACATATATATATATATGTATATATATATACTCACGCAGAACTTGCTTAGCGATCCAGCATTGTTTTTACTACAATCTCCCACTCCTGTTACTACATTCTTGACGCCAACCTCTCGCCATCACAATCAAATAGAAATATCTTTGAATTTATCGATTTTCACCTTGAGTTTATCGTATTCTTAATGACAACAATTCTACGAACACGATAAATATCTGAGCAAATTTTCTTGTAATACAGTACAGCCACTCGTAACGTACATAATATTTCTCTCTCTTTTTCTCTTCCACTACAACTTTTCTCTGTCTTCCAATCTCTATCTTTTTCACTCCTTTTCGTGGTAGAATGAGGGTATTTGCAATAAGCAATAGTACCGAGAACTTTCAGAATTTTAGGAAGAACTCACTAACTTTTACACGTACTCACCAAAATCAGATAGCCAGAGATTATTACAACGTAGAAAAGTACACAAAAAGTAACTGATTTCGTTCGTATCTTACATATAGTTTTAATTATAAATATTTATCATAGAAAGAACGAAATGTCGTATAATAGTATTATGGCGTTGCAAGAACATCATGGCGCCTTGTTTACGAAGGCAGTTCTATGAGAATTGTGTTTTAACAATGTTATGCACGTCACCTACAATTTGTTAAATTGCTCTATTTATTATAATCTTTCATTCGAAGCTAACTCTTTTTGCACACTTCATTTCCAACATATAAACATAATTTATGTATACGTTTACGTACAGCAATAATATGCACTCATCGCACTACGCAACGACAATGTATTCAACGATAAGGGCTGATCGTAGATGACTCATATGAAAAAGATGATATGCTATAAAGTGTTAAAAACTTTTTATTATAATAAACAAATAATCACTTATATTTTAAAAAATATTTTTTCGTGATGTTAATTTAACAAAATATTTCATGTAATAAAATAATTCTATGAATTCCGTGTTTCATTAGATCGATTAGAGTAAAAAACAAAAAGCTGTGATTGGTACGAGTTGAACGCGGTAAAGGAGGGAGATTTGATCGTTTTAATTATTAATTCATACTATAAATATAAAAATCGTTATATTTAAATTGTATAAAGTTATTATATAATCATACAAAATTTTATATACATTTTTATTAATAAACATACTGTTTTGCTAATGCTCTTAAAAATTTCGCTTTCCGAATGTTCGCTGCTTCCCTTTGTATTTCTTCATTATTATTAGAATTCAATTCCAATAAACCAATTACCTTAATCTTAAAATATAATTGAATTATAAATATATATATACATATTTAAAATAAATTATATATAATTACTAACCGCTAATTGTTTTCTATGATGTTCACCACGTTTTGTATGTAAATGAATGAGATACTCAAGTATTGTAGTATCCCAAATACAATGATAGTACGCGTCCATAGCGTCTGCTGGTGCGCAACTTTTTTGATCGCTGGCTGCCATTTTAAAAGCTAAAGTATAATCTACTTCCTCCAAAAATTGACACAATACAGCAGCCTGGGTATAACATTGTAAATGAGCACAACATTTAATCATACGCCTATAAACGAGATCATCAATCTGTGATCTTGGTACTGGTTGACTGAACAAATCACTGGCTACCATAATAGCTTCTAAATAATATTTTATTGCACTTTCATAGTATCCTAAAACTAAAAATATTATATTTTATTTAGTTTTGAAATTAATCCTTTTTTCATACATACCAAAATTAAGATCTCCCATCAATCTCAACCAAGGAACATTACTTGGATAATATTTCAAAGCTTGTGTTAGTAATTGAAACAGCAATTCTCCAATACTTCTAATATTATAGGAATTAGCGCTGCAAAATAACATTTATGTATTATTATAAAACATTACACATTTTGTGTTATGTGAAAACTTACTTTGGTACACCAGCAGGCCAAAGAGGAAGATATTGTGTATGTAATTCAAGACCAGATTCATCACGTAAAACATTTCGCAAACGTGCTAATAATGAAATAACAACAGTAAGAACCATAGGTTCGCGTAATCTATTAAGTGTTCCTCCAATGCTAGCAATAACATCTCTTGAAGCACTACCAGTACTTGTTCCACTATTACCACTGTTGCTTCGTTTCTGTGGTTGATCTCTACTCGGTCCAAAGGCAGTCAATACTAAAGATATAATTTCATATTATATTTTAATGTAGAAATTTTTATTTGGCACTCTGAAAACTAACCCATATCCCATGCTTCTCTTGGAAATTTCCTTCCACCTTTGTATTTAACAATATCTTGACAAACGCTACTGATGGCTGCTGCAAACTCTGAGTAACTCCAACGTTTCTCTAAACTTGTTAAATAATCCCACTCAGTCATATTTAAGAGAAAAACAGTGCAATATTCAATAATTTCTTGTCTTGGTATAACTTGATCTGTTGCTTGTAATGCTCCAAGACATTGTTTACATCTTGTGACTAAAGTTTGCGTATCACCTATAAAATTTTTGTTTAATTATCTAAATCATAATAGATTATGAAATCAAATGTACATACATATACCCGTTGCCGGCCATAAGTGAAGACATCTCCAAATTTCTACAAGAAGGCATTCCCAGTTTACTAATTTACACAATTTAAATATTAATGTGTTTCCACTTTGTGAATGTTGCTGTACTTCTTTCTCTAATACATTTAATATCTCAATTGCCCCTTCAAAATCTTTAGACATTACTAATTCCCTACTTTTTGCTAACAATACATATGAATAATCTTGAAGGAATCCTCTGGGAAGAGACATTACAACACTTTGTAATGGTATAGGTAGTTCCCAACAACTATTTACATTCCATAATGGTTTCATTCGATGTTTACCATCTAAATGTATCAATATTTCGTGAATTTCATTAGTATCATATGACTGTATTAATCTTTGTTCTAATTCAAATATTTCTATCCTTGAGCTTTCTGTAATTTAAATAATTTATTATTACGATAACACTTAATAACCAATATTTTACGCTATATAATTAATACTTATGCACATATACTGACGAGTATATGTTATTAGCGGAATACCCCAATCATTTTTCAATAATAAATCTGGTATTTCAAGTTCTTCAACAGTGGCTGATTTTCTGATTTCTTCTAATTCTTCCTCGTTAAATAATGCCATATACAATGGATCACTGAGTATTTTAGAAGCAAACCTATAAATATTAGTGGTATGTACGAAATAAAGAAGATAGCGAGAAATACGTTTTTTGTCTGTATCAGTAGCTTGTTCCAAAACATTTCCAAGAGCCTAAAAAAGTTTTCGTGTAATATGGACAATAAAATAACAAATAATTTAAAACAATAGAGAAATTACCTTACCGAAAGAAATATATCCATTCCTTTGCTTCCAGCTGCTTGTATTTCTGTTATATAATCACCAAGAATTATACTACCATCTACAATTTTTCTAACTAAATTTAAACATTGAATTTGGAGCAAAAGATCGCGAGCTACTACAATTTTTCTATTAACAGATCCTCCTTGCACATCAAGTTCCAAATTATCTCTATAAACTTGAGGAATTTCTCTTGTAATGTTATCTGTTTGTAAAATTTGCAATATATTCTGAAGCAAATAACCATTATTAACATCTTATATAGAATTCAATTTCTTATATTATGTTCAGATACATACAGTATATTGATCTTTAATTGATGCTTGCAATTGTTGGGTAAGACTGGAAGTAACTCCTTCTATAGGTACTTCGCATGCTAAGGAACAACCATCTAAATATTCTTTTTGAACTTTACAATATAACCTTCCTTCTGAATTATCGAAATTGTAAAATAATTCTTTGGCTTGTATAATATGACGCTTTGCTTCCTGGTATTCTTCTTTTAACAAATGAAATCTTGCCAGATCGTAATGTATCTAAACATGTTACAATAAATAATAAAATACAAGAAATATTTAAATAACAATAGTAAACATATAAACATGTCATACCTGGCATTTAAATTCTTCTAAATTTATAGAATACATATTCTCCCAATTTTGTTTAATCTCTGTGCTATCTTCAGATAGCATTTGGAAAGTATCAAAGGATAACATTTTTGGATTTATATCTTTACTTTCAAGAACATTATTTAGAACGGTTATACTATTAGACACTTGAGTTTCTAATTTTCTAATTATGTCATCTACTACTCCAGGTGGTACATAGGTTGATTCTTGTATACCTGGACTGTTATATATAGTAAATTAAGAAAGAAGTTATGCACAAGATATTACAATTAATCACGTGAATATTTAAAGTCTTACATATGAAGAAATTGTTGCTTTGACTGTTTGTTATTTAAGGCTCTATAAAGAATTGCTCTTATATGCCATCTATGGTATAAAACAATCGTAAATAGAAGTTGATCAGAAATTGGATGCATTACAAATTCAGGTATAGTTGGTATTTCAACTGTTAAATCTGATGTTATATAAAGAAGGTCTTGAAGTAGCGTTAACTGTATTGGTAATGGTAATTTTTTTTCTAATATATCCAAATCCCATTTTAAATGAGCTGCTACTTTCAAAGAAAGAATTTTCAAAGCAAGATTTCTGTGACTCCATTTAACTGCGGTGTTAGGTTTTGTATCATTCATTTCTGTATCAACAATTTTCACTTCATTTTCCTTTTGTTCTGAATTTATTGTCATAAACTTGATAATTAAATCCGTCGCTGAAGGATCTAGAATAATTTTATGACAGTGTGATTAGCATAATAATTTTATTAATTACTTTATTCTATTTGCATCAAATAATTGAGGTTAGATCGTCATTTACCGGGAGAAGGTTTGGATAAATGTTGTTGTAATAAAGATGGATTTAATAAAAATTCAAACCAAAGAATCGTATCAGGAGATATAGGCACAGTGCCTGGTCTCAATAAATCCACATCCATCATCGCATTATTTTCAACTTAGACAAACATTTAAGGCCGGAGAAGTAATTTTCATATGTATCTGTGTCTTCATCAAAGATTCAAGTTCATCTTCTACCATTTAAAGCTTAGTTTGAAAATGATTGTAGGTGTCGCTAAAATAAAGAGTAGTCAGTTCATGAAGAAATACATAGATGTCACGTTTAAAAGGCGCGTCATTCCAACAAATGTTTGATCAATTACGACTAAACCACTCAATTTTTTATATATTTACGCTTATTATATTTGATAAAATTTTACAATCATGGTGCGATTAACCGCCGAATATATCGAGAGAAAATGTTCACAAATGCAATTAAGTAAATCTCTTAGCAAGAAAGTAAAGAAGGACGAATTATATACTCTAACTCATTTACGCATGAACAATATGTTTATCAGTAGCATCGTAAGTTAATTTTGTTAAAATAATAATGAGGTATAATCTATACATATAATCATATTGTTTTAGGGTAATTTTGTTAATTATAGGAATCTTAAAGTAATATATTTACAAAATAATAATATTTCGAAAATAGAAAATTTGCACTTTGCATCTAACTTGACGCATTTATATTTGCAACATAACACAATAAGTAAAATAGAAAATTTAAATTTTCTTGAGAAATTGCAAACACTTTATTTAGGATATAACAAAATACTGGTAGTGGAGGGTCTTGAATGTTTAAAAAATTTAACTATTTTGCAAGTAGAAAATCAAAAGTTATCTGTTGGAGAATCATTATGCTTTGATCCACGGAGTGTACTCACTTTATCTGTAAGTTTGAATTGATTATTGTCTTTTAATTCTCTGTTCTTACTTATACAATATTTTTTAGCGTTGTCTGAAAGTACTCAACATTTCGGGTAATAAAATGGCATCTTTGAAAAGCATTAAAGAATTGCATAAATTAGAAGTTTTAGACGCGACAAATAATTGTATTGATGATATCAACGATTTAACAGAAAGTATAAGTGTTTTGACTTCTTTAATAGATCTATCTTTACAAGGCAATCCTGTAACTCAATATTATAGGTGCAAAGAAAATCTTATCGCAAATAATGACACAATAAGTATGTTAGTTTATTTGGATTTCTTCTTCTTACCATTTACATTTTGCTCTCTAAATAATACTAACTTACAGAAACTCTTGACGGAAAAATGGTTACAGATGTATGTAAATGTTTCATGAAAAGATTTAAGATAAATAAACATCTTTATCACACAAAGAAATTATTGAATACTACACTAGATGAAGATATTACAAGTATGATTATTGACAACTTTTTCATAACGAACATAAACTTTTAATGAATATCTTCATATTACAGGTTCGTTAAATTTACCGCCTTCATTAAAAGAATCAATATCCAGGGCGATATTTCAACATCCTGATGCAAAATTGTCTACTACATCTGCGATGAATAAAACACAATCATATATATTTCCATCATGGAAAATAGGTAACTTGATACAAAAAGCTATTTAAATAATTTTTAATACATGTAAAAATGTTATTAATATTTAATCAACTTTTATAATTATATTAGGTATAAATATTGTAAAGAATGGTCATGTTACCACAAAACCATTTTGGGGTAATGTAATTAAGACTAAGAGCTTTCCTAGTGTACAACCTTTGTTAAACAGTGAAATTATTAAATTGCCACCTATTTGAATCTAGGAACATAGTAATGACAATACACTGCATACAAGAAAACAAACTTTTTGAATGAGAGGTATTCTTCTTGTTTATTAATATGTTTTTTTAGAAAATTATTTATAATTCATTGTATATTTCTCATTTGCATTAAATTTTTTTATAATTATGTATTAAATAATTTCTATATGAACCATTAATTATTGCCTGCATGCTGGAAAGTCGTGTATGAGATAAAAATAAAATCTATGATCAAATCGCGTTGAAAAAAAGTGTATGGCAAATTATCTTAAAAAGCTGGAGGCAAACTAATTACAATTATTTTGTACAACTTTCTAGCACTAAGGCGACATTTATATTATATGTGCATTAACATAACATTTTCATAACTAAAATAAAGTACATTGAAATTCATGCGTGTCAAACAATAATACAATTTAATAATAACAAAACGTGCATAGTTAAACAGTTATGACGTTCTTACACATAAAATACTATTATATAATTATATTATATAGCTATAATATTAAGTATATAATATTATAATCATCGTGTTATCACTAAATGAACCACAGAAGTATTAAAGTACAAAATACTATTAACTACATTTGTACACTGCTTGAAGATTTGTATCTTATCTTTATAGCTTAACTTTGTGAGTAACAACTGAAATACAAAAAGCACATGAATTGAATGTAATGAAAAACCTCTTCAAGCAGAGCTAATATAAAATTGCTATAAATATATAATAATAATACGAATAAACGAATAAATAAGTTTTAAATGACACAGGCTTTTATAATACATATTTGTTAGTCACTATAAGCATGGAATGTTAGATACAATAAAAACAAATATATAAATTATGGAATTACATGGTGTAAAAGGTACAAGTAGGAAATCAATTTCTTCTTCAACATAATTTTACTGCCTTTTATAATATCGAGACATAAAACTCGATTTACGAAATTTCTAAAACTGCTCATAAATAAAAAAATAAGAACTAATATACTTGTTGAGCATATTTGAAATATAAACTAATACTATGAAGTAAAATGAGATTACAATCAATATATTTTATAAAATTTGAACAATTCATTAGCTGTCAGCGTATAACAGAATGTGACACATAAGACGAAATGCAATTCGCACGTAGATGGTCTATGTTATCCTTTGTTCTATAGAAATTTTAATGTTTTTTATTTATACGTATAAAATGACATAATACAATATAACAATACTGAGTGGTACTGTACATGGACAAGGTTCACAATCACTAAGAAAAGATATAATAAATATAAACAGCTATTAAACTAATGTATATGTAAATATTTCTTTCACTTTATTATGTATTAGGTAAAAAGTAGAAAAGTAAAAAAGATTTTTTTATTATTAGCATGTGAAACATATTTTTTAGTACCATAAAATAAATGCTTTGTGCAAAATGCAAACGTAATATATAGTGACATTTTTTAATCAACACTTGAAAGAACAAAGGTATAAACAAGCCTCCTACAGTGTGACATGCATATTTTAATGTTGCTTCATAATTGATGCATGTACAATATATATACGTATATATTATTCACACATAAATATATGAAGCAGCGGTATGTATTAATATTTATAACATTATATATTTATATAGCTTTATTTTTGCAAAGTATAACTTGCATCTTAATAATTTTATTGTAAATTCAGGTTATCAGCCTTTCCTCCTTCTTAGCAATATCTATGTGTTGTTCATACAAAAATTAAATAACCTATTAAACAAATAAAATCTTATATGAACTTGTAGTCTTAAAACTACAAAAGTTACAGCTAAATTTAGACATATACGCTGACCAATGCATCATAGCTCTTGGTATGAAGTTACATACATATGATTTTTTATCTTAATATTACTAATAAATCTTATAATCTTTGAAGTATATTTTGAAAATCTACATAGTTTCCAAATACATATTTTTAAATTATTAAATAAAAGATGTATACAATAGCAATGTTAACAATGTGTATCTCCTTTCAATTTACATTGCTGGATAATAATACTATAAATTACAGGAAACTTTGTAGATTTCTATTTTCTTTTCCAAATAATCATAAATGTTTGTGTACATGTACATATATATAATATATATATATGTATTTATTTTAATGTATATATTAATATTTCATAGTTAGAGAAATCTGACTTTGTCATACAGTAAACATTATGTAATATCCACTTTGAAAAAAATATGTCACAAATAATTAACATATACAAAAAAATTATTGCAAAAAGCTACATTTAAATCATACGAAGCTTTATAAAAAAATTTTGTATGTCTCTTACTTAGATATTATAAGTCTTCCACTGTTACTTTCTATATATTCTTCTCCAAGTGACTTATATATATATATATATATATATATAATAATGTTCATATCATTAAACGCATATTAATGTAAACGCATATTACAGTTACATATGCTTGACTTGTCAAAACGTTTTTTAAGATGTTTTAATTGTTATGTTTTTTATTATATTAGGCTCATAGACGAAGTCTTAAAATTAGAAATTTAAATTACAACAGAAAATCTGCAAAAGATTTTAAAAAATTAAGCTTTTGAATATTCCTCTAATATTGTTGAACAAGATTTGAACATTATTTAAACGAACTTTATATGAATAGCTTAATATGCTTATTACATGAGACATCGCGTGAATATCATGATTTTGTTCGCTGTGAAGCAGTGATGTAAGTTTGTGGGCACTCTGTCATATTTTTATAGTTATAAACAAATTAGCTTTTGTTTACATATATATATATAGCTATGTATACATAATATGTTTAATATATATTTATGTTTTTGAGTATGTAAATAATACATACTTTGAATATGAACACTGCTGTTTATGGTACAACGTACCATGACATCTTTTTGTAAGAACTTGATTTTTAATCAAGTTGAAGCTCGTGACATTGAACAACATTTGTTATAAGAATTGTTTCTTATATATTAAATGATAAATGTTGCTTTAATTAGCCTTTTATATGATAAAATGGTTAATTAAATGTTGGCAATAGCAAAAACTAAGTCAAATCATTTGCCATTCATTGTATATCCAAGATATACATAATATATATATATCAATTTAATTTTTTATTTTATCTTTTTTAAAATTACGAGCATTATATCTTTTAGACAAAGAGTGCCCTTCTTACAAAGGTGATTTTTGATGCATTACAAGTTACTGTGCTGTTTGCTGTTGAATTTCTATCTTTTCTACTGTCATATCAGGGTTCATTGCCGTTGCCTCTTGAATTGCTTCTGCCAAAGCTCGATCATGATCAATCGGATCGCCATCTGATTGTATCGTAATTTTTTGTTCTACACGAGTTTCTACAACTCCATCTCTTTCAGTTTTATACTGAAAATGCAATCACGTATGCACTTAACAGATACTAACAATTAAAAATTAAAAAATTTCGAATCTTACCGTTATCGTTTCAACAGTGCGAGTTTTACTGGATATTGTCTGAGAACTAACTATTTCCCCGGTTGCACTGTACATACCATCTTCACTTTCAACAGCTACCTTTCTAGTTTCAGTTGCTACTAGTGGAACTGTGGTAGTTGTTGTTACATTATTTTCTGGCTCTCCTTTGTAAACATGCGTTTCTGTTTCAACAACACCAGCTGGATCACCCTGAATTAAATTTATAAAATGATATTTCTGTCTCTTTCTCTCTCTCTCTATCTCTTCTCAGAAAGAAGAGTTCAAAAATATATCTAATGCAAAAATAATATACTGAACAGTTATATTGCAGTATATTACTGTACAATTATATTAATATATTACAAGTATAAATACATTAAATAATACAAAGAACCAAAGCATTATTAAAGTATAGAATTTATGTTACTTTTATTGATTAATGGTTAATACCTTAAAACCAGTGCCTTCGAAATAATGAGTAGATTAGGTTTTTTATTATGATTTTATGAATATCATTTTTATGTTCCCATGAATATCAACAAATGAGTATCAGTGTAAAATGGATATTGATTAAAAGTATATGATATATCTATGTATAATCTAAATAATATATAATCTATATGAAAAAATTGGCGTTAATAGTTTACTAATTATTCTAAGAATTTTTATCCATTATAAGACATATTTCTTGTACAGTAAACATATTTAAGCATGTACCTTTGTGAAGATTCATCCTCAGAACTAAATTTTCTAAATTCTCAAAAAATTTTGTTTCTAAAAGAATATAACTTTTTAGTAATTTTCAATCCTAAAAATTTACCTGATAATATTGGTTGTAGAAAGCCTGTTGATCATCTTCAAGGTCAATTGGAGTACCTGAATCATCACTGCTTGAACTGGATGTACTGAGCCTTCGTGAGAACAGCTACACCATGCAATGTGTTAACCAAGCCGGCAAAATTAATTACAAAAATAAAAAAATAATTAAATAAAAAATAGCACTGGTTAAACTTTATTAGTCAACCAATATCCTGAATGAATTAAGTATTATTGATATACTAAACTTATGATCCCTTTGTTTAAACATATGATACCGTGATATGCTTACTAAATGTGCATGATTCTTATTTATCAATATGTATATTACACAAAAAATGAATATTATACACTTAAAATTAAGTATATGTTATAAAAACTAAAAAGCTTCATGATATTACCCGAATTTCCGTAAATATTAAAGAAAATTATTTAAATATATATGTGCAATGACCATATTACTAACATGGAACATATTCTAAATGATTTAATGTTAGGATCAATCAAAACACGGTATGTGATTATTATCACTTACATAAATGCTTACATGCTTCATCCATTAGTGGTGAGCTTGATATATTTAGCATTTTAAGCTGTTAATGAATCATTACCTGTTCACCAGAAAGTACATGACTTGTTGTTCGAACTTCTTGAGTTACCACTCTCTGTTCTTGTCTTGTTGCACTGGTTGCTGTTGTATGCGCTACAGTTTTTTCCTCTACCTAATATAAAAAAAATATAAAAAAATAATTCTAGCTTTATAGAAAAAAATATGATGAAATATATATAAAAGAGTTAAAAATATTTGCATACAACATATGAACAAGTAGAGTAAAATTGCAATCAAATAAGCAGGTCATCTAAAACTTTTTAAGAACGTGAATAATAACATTACAAACCTGACTGGTTTTCTGATTTTTTTCAAGATCTTCATGCATTGTAGCAGTGCGTGTAGTAACAGCTGTTGCTGTCATGTATGGGGCCCTACCATCATCTGATGCCTCTGCCTAAATACAACTACAAGGTAACTAATGTCTTATAATAAAGCAGCAATATGTATGTACATATAAAATTATAGTAAATAGAGGAATATTAATAAGTTACATATTTATATATTTTTTCAAGATAATAAAAAATTTCTTTGTTCAAAAATCACATTTGCTACTTATATTAATGACATATATTTCTTACATGCAGTATTTAAATAATTAATATCTAAGAATCATATAACAATGTCTACAGTCTATCTATATCATAAGACTACTCACAATATACCATAATATATCATTCAATAAATATCATTCAAACAGTTCAATAAGCTGGGATAAATAGAAATTTAATCAAGGAATATGGATACTATAAATTGTTTTAAAATCATAAGAAGAAGCTAAATAAAAAGTACTAAAAAAAAAGAGAAAAAATGAAAATATCTAATTTTTTGACAATATCTTTTCCTTTACTTTATGTATCTTAATATCATGGATAGTTTTAAAAGTTTCATCACCTTATTAATTTGTGTAGAAACAGTTACTTGGCCTGTGCCTCCAGGTGTAAGATCTTCTACTTTTTCTTCTATGTTTTGTGTCACACCTTCTTGATCCTTCACTACAGATTGTTTAGTTGTGGTTTTCACTATTGTTGGGGTAGTGCTTGAAGTTAAAATTTTCTTCGTTTTTGAAGAAAATGGTTTTATTACATCCCGTATATCCTTTAAAATAGTATAGTATAATGTAGAACTAGAAGAGTCAAAGGACGAAGATGACACAGAAGAATCTGTGTCAGAAAAGTAAATAGGACAATTCTTGAATCAAAAATCAAGTATGGAAGAGACGAAAAATACCTCAGAGTTGCCACAATTACAAAGAAATCGAAATTTCTCCAATTAGAAGATCGTTTACTTAAACTTTTGTATGAAAGAAACAGAGTTGTATCTGAAGTTCGCAATTAGCGACTACTAACTACTGCAGGTGAGGAAGATTTGGCTTTAATTATGTGCCTGATGAAGAGAAAAAAGTACTAAGTAGTATTAACAGAAAAAGGAAAATCCAAAGAATCTGGAACTCCTCTTTCAGATCTCCTAGTCTCAATTATGTGGAATCTATAGAATTGAGTGAACAGTAAATACCAAACATTAATAAGAACGCACCAGTAATGTTTATTGGACATTATGTCTGTTGCACACTAATAAGAAAGTGCTAATTACCAACCAAGTATGGTGTTTATTAATACTTTAAATTTTATGAAGGAACTTTGACATTTTATTACCTCCAGATGTAGTTGAAAGTAGATGTTATTCATACCAAGAATGATAAACCATTAGATCAAAATAAACTCAAATTAGAAAATCAATAGGGATATTACAACTAAAATTGATAAACTTGTAAATCAAGAAATTAGGGGCGTAAAAAGAAATTCATTGAAGATGAGATATATAATATAGTTCTAATACTCAATCAACATTTAGTGAAAACACATACTAATAAAGGAAGGACAAATTTTAGGGAAAAATGGAGCAGCAATACAATGTGGCAAATTAAATACTCTAAATTGTTTATGCAAATATCATACAGTGCAAATAGAACCTATAGTGAAACTTCATTCATCTGAACCCATTAAAGGGAACCAACAGTTCACATAATTGGATTATTCATTATAACATTTCAAAATTTCATTTATTGGAACAAAATTCTAGGTAATGTCCAATGAACACATTGAATACTAGGTAAATTTTGTATGTTTTGTTTAAAGCGCCAAAATACTATGACATACTTTATTAAAAAATAAAATTATTTAAATACTTTATGATGTATTTAATACTTTGTGTATCAGTTGCGTATCAGATAATCTTTATAGCATTCAACATTACTTATCTTACATTATTTTACATTTATTATTAATAGAACACTACGTTAATTATCTACAATTAATTATCTAGACTACTTCTGAGTGCTACTCCAATTATATAAACATCTATAACAATTCATAAATAGTGAAAATAATCAATAAAAAAGAATCCTATTATTCCTATTATATGAAGTTTATCCCCCAACGTGTTCAGATAAATGAAATTCCACTGTACTTACCTTTATTTTGTCTTTCTTTTCTTTATCTATCTTTTCTGATGTTTCCTTGTCTTTCTTTTCTAACGATTCCCTATCTTTTTTTTCTAGCATTTCCTTATCTCTTTTTTCTGGCGTTTCCTTGCCTTTCTTTTCTGACATTTCCTTGCTTTTCTTTTCTGGCGTTTCACTGTCTTTCTTTTCAAACATATCCTTGTCTTTCTTTTCTAACTGTTCCTTATCTTTCTTTTCAGACATATCCTTGTCTTTCTTTTCTGACATTTCCTTGTCTTTCTTTTCTGAAATTTCCTTGTCTTTCTTTTCTAACATTTCCTTTTCTTTTTTTTTCAATTCCTTTTTACTGAGTGGCTTTATTTCATTGTTGTCAAGAGTAGCACTTTTTTCTAGCATTTCCTTATCTTTCTTTTTTAAATCTCTCTTAGTGAGTGACTTTAATTCATCAATAAAAGCGCTTCTTTCTGGTGTTTCCTTTTCTTTCTTTTTCAATTCTTTTTTACTAGGTGACTTTATTTCGTTCTTATCACTTTTTTCTAATGTTTCCTTATCTTTCTTTTTCGATTCTTTTTTATTGGGTGACTTCACGTCGTTGTTATCAATAATAGCACTTTCATTTATTAAATCAGAATTGTTGAGATCATTGTGATTTTCCTTTTCGCTTTCGTTTTTCTTATCCTTCTTCTTCTTAAATAGACCACCGGGCGGTAGGACCGCAATTCCTCCGACCGGTTTCTATAAGTAAATTTATAGTCACACATCGCTTCATGCAATAAGCACGATTCAGTTCTATCGCTATGCTATTATAAACTACGTGTTTCACATTCTCTTAGCGTATATTTCATGCTGGATAACTAATTACGGTCTGCGCTCTCAAAAAAATATCAGTTGTTAATTTTTTTAGATGAATATACTTTCCTGAAGAATTTACTTGTATCTATGGTACATTTCTTTGCTTGAATGTTTCTTGACATAAATCATTATATAAAGTGATCGTTATGTGCATGCTAACATAAGCATTAGCGCAGTTTAATAGCTTATTAAAATATTTGCGCCTGCGTATGCTCATGTGATGTATGATAAAAGAAATTTTAAAAGATTTGAGAAATTCAACTTTGAGGCGATGGCCGTATAATGTTTGCAAAAAATAAATAAAAGATAGCAACATGCACCGAAAAAAAAGGAAAACACCAAATGGTCACATACATTAATATAGATAAAAGTATGTTGGTTAATGCATGACAGTATGTTCCAGGTGAAATTCTATACCTTTTTGCCACGATCTGCATCATATTCTCCTTCCAGACTACTGGTACTGCTAGCTGATGTTGTTCCAGCACTTGTTTTGCGTGAGAGCTACCGGTGTTAGTTAGGTGTCAGTTAGTTTTTATGGTTGAAGCACTAGGATGTGAATATTGAATTCAAATTTGTGAAATTAAATTATTACATACAAATGCCATGTGTTCAATTTCCGATAATAATTGTAAGATAAAACTTTATAAAATCTACACATTTCTAAGTTTCTTGCATAAAAGTATTTCAAGTCCATATGAATATATACAAGTTAATTAACCAAATATTATGTAGAATGGATAGAAACGATATTAAGTTTGGCTTTCCCATTAAGTTTTTAACTTAACATGTGCAATTTTTAATTCAAGTTAATTAACTTGCATGTGCATTATTCAACTTGTTTTGATAATTTTGGAGTAAACGTATTAGATATCTAATGCATTCAACTATCTCTAATACATGGCACACAAAAACTTATCAACATGCCATGTCTACAGATATTATCCGTTTGACTTAAAAACAATAGTGCATAATGATTAATTCCAACTTTTTATGAAATATGTTATCTCTTGCTTATACGTGAACCAATTGATGTTCTACAATTTCTCCGTTGTGTAATGTAATTAGGATTTCAATAATACTTAAAAAGAATGATTATATATGATAACAATAAAGGTAATTAATTACTTGAACTTATTATTATACAATAAACTCTTTAGAAAAAAGCTTTGTTTGAAAGCGTAGACCGCAGAAATATTGCCTTTAAAAGAATTTCTCATGGAATAATTTTCAATTTGCATGACGATTCCATGCATCCTCTACTAACTATTACTATGTTTGATATATTTAAATGTATTCTTTTTTACCTTTTCTTTCTGTTTTTTTATTGGACTAGGCCGTTGATCTATATGCTCCATGTCAGGAATCATTTCAGGTTCATAGCTCATTGTATGCCTCTTACTTGGTTCTGAACCATAAGATTCAACTTGTTTAGGACCCCCTAACGCTGTATAATGCACACATACCTTTCAAAATCTTAAAGTGATAACTTTGCGACAAAAGTGTCAAAACGGCACTGGCTGCATATTGCGTCTAAAGTTAATAAGTATCAGAAGTCTTTTTACCATCCATACTACGAGATGTAGGACGACGACCACTTAAAGATCTTTCGAATTGTGGAGGTTGTCTATCAATGGGAGTCTTCTTTGTCTCGTAGTGAGTTCTTCCTGAATATCGGAAACGAGAACCCAGATGTGGTATCAAACCGACTTTCTTTACAGGCTCAGGACTCATGAGCCTAAAAAATGTGTATATTACTTTATCTTATACTTTATCTTTATTCATATATTTTATGCTACTTAAAATCATTATTAAATAATTATTCACCTGAAGAAAGTATGGTGTTCTACACATACTTTCCATAACTTTTTCGCAGCTCTATGGTTAGCTAATTTGAAACCAATCGTCGATTCAAATTGCTCAAATTCACCCGGCCTAATCTTTATGTAAAAGTTATGCCTTTTGTACGAGATTTTTAGTATCTTTGGCCAAGCAAACCTATTGATTCTTAATCGATCCCTATAGACGAGAAGACCCGATGAACATACACCTAACATTATATCCACGCCCTCAGAATCTTTAGCAGGATGAAGATCAACTCCATACATCGCTAACTTTTTTGCATTTTCGAGATAATGGAGTTCTGCTTCCGCGGGTGTTTGACCTCTAAAAATTAGTCAAATTTTCTTTATTATTAATTCTACTATCATTTGGATAAATGGCTAATCATTAAACGAGACTAACTTATGCGTTTTATGAAGGTCCATTACTTTCTCCACTAACTCTGGAGTCTGATTAGGGGCAAATTTGAAATCCTTTAAATATGTACGGCCATGCTCGTCTGGGTCGTAATCTCCGACTTCTGATTGAACTAAATATGAACCTAGAAGAGCGTGAGTTACAAACGAACACGGCAAACGGCCTGTGATAATATCGTTTCTAATTTGAAGGCATAGCTGATAACGAGTTATGTCTTCTTGTAATTGGGCTGGGTCCGGAGGATAAAACTTCACCTCGAAATTAAATTTCCATGGTTCGTCTGCAGAGATAAAACCAACATAAATTGCTTCCAACAATGATATCACATAATATACGAGGAAAAAGAAAGAGAAAAGAAGACTACGTACTTTTCACAAATTTCGCGATTCTTTTATCCAGATCTAACCAGTTTCGCAAATCGTGTCTGTCCTCGTAAATAAGGCCAAAATAATCCTTCTCCATCAAATTCATACTCTGACATATCATGTCAAGTAATTCTTGGCCTTTCGCCTTCCTCTGGAACAAAATCAATTTCTCATACGGTTTTCGTCAACGTCGAGGAAACTCATTCTCCTGGAAGGATGAAAGAAAAATTTGATAGCTTACATCTATGTGGAAGTCTTTCACGGTTCCATCTAGCAAAGTGATTCTCGCAAGAGCTGTTTTGCCTTTGCTCACTGGACTTTTGGTCGGCGAGTTTGTTCCAGTCCCATTTTCTGCCGTTACCTCTGGTTGACTACCAGCGGACTTCTGTTCCTCCGGCATATTTCAATCCTGTGCTAAGAAGATTTGCGCGTGTTAATCCATGTTATATAGCAGGTTCCTTACTTTGCTACCAACGACGCATGGATTAATCCTCTAAATAGATCTGCTTTCTTAATCGTCAACTACATCGAAGAAATAATATTGCGTGTTGGTTCAGTGTATTCGAGTATAGATCCCGTCTAGACCAGAGGGTGCCATGTAGAGAAATAATCAATATTTGCCGGAGCTCTTCGAGTTACACATACCCCGGTCTATAAAACACCCCAACTCTTATCTCGTTAACTATAAGGAAAATATCAGGAAAAAAGAAATAACATTAAAGACAACGAAGTATGTACTTTGAAATTATTTACTACTTTATACAAGTGTACAATTTGAATGAGATCTTCCGCAATAAAAACTCATTTCTTTCTTGTAACGATCTGAACGTTTGCTCGTTTTATCATCCAATGCATATACGCAACATGCTCGCTTCTATCTTCGAGGTCTCCAGACAGTAAGAGGAAAACATTGTAGATAGAATGTACTGTTACATCGAGTACCTAGATCCCAACGGCGCGAGTTTCTACAACGTCTAGGATCCGCCAATATCGGCATACGCCAAAGAAAGATACTACTAGACAAATGATTTCGTAAAAAGTTTGAGAACAAGTTGCAGTTACGTGCAACAGAGACACGTGTGCGCATTTGTCACAGGTCGTTCGCCTTCTGAGTGAAACAGATAGAAGGTAATACACGTCCACGCAAGATATCTCGATACAAAGCCAATAAACCGGCGATATTTATAACACCAAGCCTACCAAAATACACAAGCCAGGTATTGTTAGACGTGATAAAGTTGCTATAAAAATATCGCGTCTGTTCAACAATCAACCGAAGAGAACGTGTTTCGAGCGTAGAATCGATGGTAAAGGGTTTCGAATAAAAAAGCATCGAGCGTAAAAATCCTTCGAAATCCAGAATTGATCTTTTCCAAGTAAAACGTAGCCATGAAAATAATGTGCAGCATGACCCTGACCGACACGGTCTGCTGAGACCATATACATAGTATTCAAATCGACGAGCACAGGTCTGTAGCTCTGAGCATAGTCCCTTATGCAATGCCGGAGAGCAAATAGTAATTCAACCTCAATTGCATGGAATCAGAGACATACTAGGACGCCGTTCGTCGTTGCAAATACCATTAGTGCAGCCTTGCTGCAAGAGAACGAGTGAAAAAATGCACTCGCAGTGATTCCCCGAAGTTTTCGCGATAGTTTGAGGAGCCGAGAGCGTCCCATGAGTCACGCACGAGCAAATACACAAAGGGAGAGACCCGCGTGCATTATCATTAAAACGGAAATCACGGTTTAACGTTCAATTCTGTCCGAATATCTCGTTACACAGACACGCAACCATCGATCCCAACAAAAGAGTAATTACATAAATCTGAACTCTGTCGCGTTGTTGCGTAACGTTACAACTGAACAGCGAGCAAAAAAAAAAAAAAAAAAGAAATGAAAAGAAGAAAGAGCAAACTCCTTTGGCAACTATACTCTGACATAAAATAGAAGAAACTTCCTGCATCACAGACTTTATTAGACAAATGATAAAATTAGTCGTGTGGTACAGAGACAGGTGCGATGCATTGAATATCTATGATTCAACGGTATTCAACTTTTAAATACAACACGTAGAGATCACAGAAATCGTGCTGGAATTCATAGAAATAGAGATACGTGGCGGTGCAAGTTCGACAAGTCTGATGTCGTCATCGCTGGAAGCAGACGTCCTTTACAGTACTCTTTACTCTTTACTGCACGATGAAGTAATATCTCGGTTAACAGGCACAATGACGTGTTCACCAATATTATACATATATACGTATACATATACACTCTAATAAGATCGACCAGGTTAAAGCCTTGACTAAGTGAATCAACGATATTCCAGAAATGCTAGGTAAGAGACGTGGTTTTCAATCGTCTGCGCAGGCCACGTTCCAGGCCGCGATAGATACCAAAGAAACATTGGAAACTTAAAACGGACAGCATAGATTCACGAGACACGTAGAAGAAACCGGTCGATCGTCTCGTTTTGCTAACGGGTCAGCTGAAAGTTTAAAGGCCTGTTGAATGGAGCGAGCCGGTTTGAAAGAATTCAGTTTTTTCGTCGACGTCGCGAAGAGATGCTTTCAAGAAACGCGTGGGTTTCATTTGGCCGTGTGTGTCAAAGAGTTTTATTGTAAACGAGGGTCGCGTGATCCACGACACACGCCCACGACTATCGTGTACACACGTTCGGTGAGACCGAGTGGACAACCGTCTCATCCTCCATAAGCATTAAAGAGCTATCGTCTTTAATGAATGAATTCATACCTCTCGAGATACGGCGGCGCAGAATTACTTTCGAGGCGCGTTGCTCCACCTTGATAAAAATAGATGAGATCGAAGTTCTGACCGGTTGCACGGAATTATTTATTTCATCTGCGAGACTAAAATTTACTAAAGTTTGCGCAAATTCCTAAATGATGCGGTAATGGAAGAAAATACGAGACAGAAAGTTAGTATATCTGATTGAAAAAATCAATTACTATTCAAACGACAAGTAAACATGCAAAAACTTTTCTATGAAATTAGAGTCAAGAAATAGCTTTTTAATCTTCGCGACCTTCACCTTTACCTATAGATGTTCGCAGCCTTGTCACTATTTTACTAGCCACTACTTTGCTATTTCATTAAATCACCAGTTTGTTTAAATTTGCCTTTGCAAATTGTTCTTTGCACTTTTGCTCTAAACTTCTCATGTATTTATTTGTTGAAGTTTCTTTACGATCGAAGATACTTAAATGCTGAAACTTCCAAAATTCTCCGTTGAATTGCACTAATGAAATAAAAATTCAAACTCCTCTCGGAAACGAGTAGTCTATAGCTAAGATCGTAAGGTTAATGAAACATACGAGAAATGAAAGGATACCCATATGCATTGTATCATAATTCCCAATTAACGAAACTTTAACGGAAGGCAATACATCGTTTTAGTAATTTAACTATCAAGGTGTACCACATGGAATATCGAGGCACGCAGTTAACGAATCGACGAAACCATACCGCAAACTGTACTCGCGGAAGAGCACGAAGCGCAGAGGATGTCATTAGAAAACACGTCAGCTTTGCATATGCATGCACCACAGGGTTTATTAACCCAATGGTGGTGGTACTTCGTAACTGTACGTGAATGAATACACGGTGCTCCAACTCGAGCACAAGTGGACCCGATCGTTTCAAATGCCGGCATTTAAATCCCTTGTGTCGACGTCGACTTCTACCTAATACGAGTTTCCGGTTCGCGTGTGAGACATTGTGTCCTCGACGAATCGATAAAAATGCACGTGGTTCTTCCAGAGACACGAGAGGCGAGTATCAACCTCCGTTAGGGGATGTTTGATCGATCGACGTTTCAACGAGCGATATTTAAATCATACGAATCTCTGATTATCTCTATCATGACAAATCGCTTGGTTCCTGTAAATTTATATTCTAATCTTAATGCCCTGATAAAATTCAGAAGTTTATGATAAAAGGCGTTGAGTTGATCATTGCGACTTGAGAGTAGCTCGTTTGTCAGCTCACAATTTTCCGGCCGGTGAGTGGTAACAAACGACTGCTGAAGTATGGCCAAACTTATGGCTACTAACCATGCAACTGATACGACTAGAAAGAGAAAAAGGAACTCTGCTTGTCCTCCTGCCAACCACCTGATCTCCCAGGAGGTAAAAAAATTCGATGCGTTACGAAAATGCACCACTTGTTACTACACTGTGAATATTTTAAGCTGCTCTTAATACACAAACATATAGATATAAAATATCTAACGTGAAACAAATCTCTGCTCAGGTACCAGCTCGTTCATTTTGTTCATAAAAATGTAAATTTACATAAACGTTCGCACTTTATTACCCTTCGTCAGCTGCGATTCTCTTCCAAGAAAGTTTTTAGGAAGATTTTTTACGACGTCTCTAAGAAATTTAGATCTCAACCAGAAAGCAGACCTGCTGCTCGCCTCAGGAGAATCTGACGTCGAGGGAGATTAACGAGTAGAACGAATCTCTCGCGCGTGAAAATTATGGTGAAGGGGAAGAAAGAATCAGAGCTCGTTTTCGCGAGAAACGATGGAGTGACGGTGACTTTTCATAGTGATAGAGACAGGCGCAGATTTAACCGTAGAGTCGATTCGTTCGCGAGGGTGCGTACACAATTTAAGAGAATTTTTATCGGTGTCGTGCAGACGCGTCCCGCTTCACCGATCGAAAACAACGGGGTTCCCCGTGCGTTTATCTCCCTTTCTCGTTCAACCCTTTCTTTCATCGCGTTCGCAGCGGCATTCATCGTAGGTCTTCCTCTGTCGCGAGTTTCAATAGTAGGAATTGCAGGGGTGAGAAGACAAGAGCAGGGGAAACAGACACAGAGGGCGAGGAAGATTCTTTGATGCGTGAAATTAAAGGTCTGAAAGCTGTAAAAACGTCGTCGAAAATTTTACCAACCAGGATATACCGATTCTTCTCTCCTTCTCTCGTTCGTTCAAATCAGACTTACGAATTTTACCCTACGCTGTTTTCCGCTGGTTGCAAGTAGATTTATTCAGTCGAAGGAGCAAGCAAACGCCTCGCCTCGTAATTTCAACTGGCGAAATTAACCAGCAATTACGTTCTCGAGCTAAAGAATAAGCGACCTCGTGTGCGTTAGATTGGAGAATGAGTGAAAGGTTCGAACTTTAATTAAACACCGCGCTACGACTCCCTCGTGTATTTTTACACGAGGATTCGTTCACAAGTGTTCAAAGAGGAGTCTGTTACGTGTGCGTAGAATTAAAAGCTCGAGAGCTCGTTCACGACGAAAACGTGTAATACAGCCTCGATCGCGTGTTACACACCATGCCGTATGAGTCATCTTTAATTTTGATCACTATACAATTTTAGAAGAATTTCAAGAACGTTAGTACAGATATTATATATGTCAGTATGCCACTTATGTTC